GTAAGTTTTAAAGATTTAAGACATTTCCCCATAAATAATAGTCTTTTGGGACATTTGAACAAACAAATGCAAACCAAAGTATGAAAACTGGTACAGCAACTTTGCAAACAACCCTCCAAATCATACAGCAATTCGAATGAGGACAAGCTAAGTTAATCATAATGAATTCAAGTGTTTTTAAACTCAATGGTTACAAAGAATCCTTGACAATAATAACTTCTGCATTGGGTGAAACTCAGTGGCCAACTAAGATTATCTTCACCTAATGATCGTCTGCTCTAGAAATTTATATAAGATTGCTTCCAACCTAGTAGAACATAGGCATCAGTTTGGTTTTTTTTTTTTTATTTCTGTCCCCATCTTCACCTTATCTGTAAAATTCTTCACGGGTAAGTTCTATATATGAAAAGAACCTTTGCTTTCCACTGCTTTTATCCTTTAACTAAAACAAACGTGTTAATTTTTTTTTTTAAATCCTCATGATGGGATATTTTAAAATACTTCCTTTCAAATAAAAAATATTCAAATACGTTTGTTGAAATCCTGTCTCTCCATCACTCTCACATTCTTATATAATGTAGAGACATTAAATAATTCATCACAAGAGATCATTTATTTAAACATTGAGAATAACATAAATGGAATTATCCTTACAAGAGCAAAGCTGCTCTTCTCCCTGTGTGTTTACCCTGACAGGGCTCTGAATCCACAAATGAGAAACAGAGGAAATTCTCCCATCAAAATGTTAACACTAGATTAGGTTACAATATGTACTTGCATATTTTTTCTATGCATAATACCATAGTCCCTTTTTTTGAGAAAAAGATCCAAATGAAACTGTCTCCAATAATTTAGCCCCAATAATGGCTATAGACAGAGGTCCCTCAAGGTCTTTGATATTTGTTGTTTTTTTTTTTCCATCTGACAAGGAAATTATAAATTATAATTATAGGTTATAAATTAATTATAAATTATCAATAAATTTATAATTAAATTATAAATTAAGGAAATTATGAATTATGTGGACAGGGAGCTCAGCACATTGTAGGTATTTGGAAACTTCGGCCATCGTCTCTAGTTTAGCTTCATCATCATCATCATCATCATCATCTTCATCATCATCATCATCATCATGCGAATATTCTCTGATCTCTCCAGGACAAAACCTCAGGTAGAGGAGTCACTACCCTTGGATCAGGGATGCCGGGGTATCCTTCCAAGGAGCTATATTCACATCACTGTGTGAACAGCACTCTTTGGCCTTGTGCAATAAAGCCTCCCAAACGTTATGATTTGGATGCTCGCTGCTGTTTAAGGGATTCCTAGGTCCTGTGGGGTAATGGATGTCTTAGGCAGATGTCTTAGGATGACTGAGTAGGTTCCCACAGGCATCCTATAGAGAAGCCTCCAGGTGTTAAAGGCAGAAGTTGCCATTCAATTACCGTGTTTCCCCAAAAATCAGACCTACTCATAAAATGAGCCCTAGCAGGATTTCTAAGCATTTGCGCAATAGAAACCCTACCCCCAAAATAAGACCTAGTGACGGGCGTGGCTGCACAGCGCATCTGCACAACCCATGCCTGTCGTTGCGGAGCGGGAAAGAACACGAGCAGCCCTTCTCATCTGCCCCAGGAGAGCTCTATGGCTTGACAGGAGAGATTGGGGCCAATGATTCTATTTTTTTTTTTGAAACAGAGTCTCACTCTGTTGCCTGGGCTAGAGTGCTGTGGCGTCAGCCTAGCTCAGCAACCTCAAACTCCTGGGCTCCAGCGATCCTCCAGTCTCAGCCTCCCGAGTAGCTGGGACTACAGGCATGCACCATCATGCTCAGCTAATTTTTTTCTCTATATATTAGTTGGCCAATTGATTTCTTTCTATTTATAGTAGAGAGAGGGTCTCGCTCTTGCTCAGGCTGGTTTTGAACTCCTGACCTCGAGCAATCCGCCCGCCTCGGCCTCCCAGAGTACAAGGGGCCAGTGGTTCTAAAGGAAATAGAGTCGCAAGAAATTCAGGATGGCATTTGGGGTTTGGAGAGTTAGGGTGATGGTCCAGAAGAAGACAACTTAACTCTGATTTGATTAAATGTAGATTGTTGTACCGTCCTCAAAAAAAATAACATGTCCCCTGAAAATAAGCCCTAGGGTGTCTTGTTGAGGAGAAAATAAATAGAAGACCCTGTCTTATTTTAGGGGAAACATGGTACTCCTACACCCACTACCAGATCTATCTCTTTCCTTGGATCTCTATATATTCCCCATCCCCCCTGCAAAGGAAACAGCAAAACTGACAGGATGTGACTGTAATTTAGCAATTTCCCTTGGGGAGGAAAAGGTGAACAGTCATGTCTTGGATGTTTGATTAAGGTCCCAATGCACAGCCCATCTCAGTGAAGCAAAGAACTGAGATTGAAGAAATGGTGAGGTTTTCCTTTTTACATTTTCAAATCCGAAAACATTCGACCTGAAACTTGAGAGGAGACCCTAAATATAAGTAAAGTCTTGGAAAGATCCTGTCAATCACTTTCTTCCTATTAGTTCCCCGTCCTGTTATTCCTGTCTCATAAAACGTTGTATAGGCCTTGAAAAAAAAAAATCTCAACTGCATAAAGAATAGTCATCGAAATGATGTGCTTTAAAACATGTTTTCTTCTTAGCAGCACTTACTGAGAAAGTTTGTCTACAAAAGGGATATCAGGCTGAATTTCCATTCCATCTGTCAATTAATTTACCCGGTAGAATCTAGGCTAATCGAGGAGGTGCAGTATTAATCAAGGGTTGTTACAGGCAAAGATGAATCACGGAGCAAAGAGCAATAGGTTGCCCGCTGCTCAAATGGGCTTTGTAAAGGGTGATTCATTGATGAAGCACTCGATCTCCAGCTAGTCTAGATGATTGATGGTCTATCAGATCCAGGTGGCTGAATTTTGTATCTCTCCCAGAGATGACAAGAGTACAGGTCTCAAGAGAGGCCAGTTTGGAAATAGGAAAACCCAGAATCTAGTTGTGGCTGTGGCCTGGAATTTATTAGAACTTCCTCAGGCTATTCTTACATACACTGGAGTTTGAGAATCATTGACCTAGAGTGTAAAAGGGAAATTCAACCAGTTCCCTAGAGTAAATAAAAACACCCCTTCATGTTTCTTATCTCTTCAATATTTAAGGAAGAGTATGAAGAAGCTAGGCATTGATCTGTGATGTGTTCTTTTGATCAGGTTAGACCACCTGGAAGATCTTTCCCAAGCCAAAGATGAGTAAAGGTTATCCTGACAACCATGTTTCCTATTGACACCCTGATATAGCGGTTGATTTGGAAACAGGTGCAGAAATCTTACCAGTACCACTCTGATCTAGGTGTTATGTTTTAACACTCTTCAAGAAATTCTGCTCTCAGGATATCTTTATTTAGATAAATGATTTTACTCCTCATTACTGAAAAATTTGTGTTTGCTTTTCCTTTTAGAATTAGTGGCTGTTGTGGCATGCTACACAAATTACAAAACTGCTGTATAGCTCGTACCTCTCATTCCCCAGTTAGCCTGATTGGATTCGAGATACACCTTGCTCTCAGCACCAACATACTTCCAAAGTCTCTCAGCCGTGTATCAACGATACAGAATAATTAAGGCCATTTATTGTTGCTAATTTGTTCTTATGGGGGTAAATTTCAGGTAGTAATCATTTCTTGACCTTAGCCTCAAAGTGTGTGAGCATACTTTGTTAGAATATTATACTGTAATTTACACAATTTCAATTCCCTGTGATCCTGCAAACTTGAAATTACTGTATTAGAGAAATATAGGCACAAAGAAGAAAAAATAATTACAACATATAGTATGATTTGGCAGCTCCTAAGAACTCAAATATATAACCCTTTTCTATGTATGTGCATGTATATTTCTGATTACTGGGGTTGTATTTATAAGCATTCTAATACGTCAAGACAAACATAATAATATGTGGAACAATTTGCATTTTGCATAAAGCTTTCACATACGGTGTTTTGCTTAATTGTGCCCCAAATTTTCTAAAATAAGCAGGAAAATTATTATAATGCTTGTTTTTAGATAACTAAGCGTTGGAGAGATCAAATGTCTGGCCCAAAATGAGTAATAAAAGAACTCTGCCTTTTGCCGTTTGGGCTTTTTTAGTTTTTAAAAGTATAACACTGTTATGTAAAAATTTTCAATCTTACATTTTGAATGTCATAGACACATATGATTATTGATAAAGCCTAACATATCATGCTATGATATAATCTGGTCTTTTGAAATTTCAACACTTGGTTAGAAAGTTTTAGAAAGTATCATTTATTGACTCATCTTGATCTAGGGAAGGTTTTTCTGCAGGGTGAAATCAACTTCATTCAGCTTTAAATTGTATTTTTAAAGATTTATGTCATTTATACAACACACTTGATTAAATTGTAATAGAAGAGGAGAACTTGGTTACCTCAAGTAAGGTTGAGCACAGTTCACTCACTCAAGGTGGATGGTATTAACAGAAATCTCCGGCAGTATTTATTATCCATCTCTGGTTCACTGAATCTAACTCTGATCATAGAGTAGTATTTCAACAAAAACAAGGCAATACTCTTGGTGGCTCCCAGTGGTTTATTTGGACCACTTTGGAAAGCAGCAACAATGATAGTTAACATTAAGGTACTTTCCGAGTGCCAGGCACTGCTCACATTATTTATGTGCATTGACACATTTATTCCTCACAGCAACCCCAAGAGGCGATATCATTATTCATCTGTTGATTATAATTTGAGCTCCTTCTCTGTATAAGAAGCATCAAGTTGTAGGATTTAGAATGTCATTTATCCAGAGAGATTCTTATGTAGTGCTCTATCAAAACAAGTGTCTGTTAATGGAAAAATTGCCTTGTAAGCTCTCAAAACAAAAAAAAAAAGTAGGGAAAGGGTAAAGAAGCTCTAAGATTTTTGATAGAATTCCAAATGATGCAAGAAACCACACTAAGAAAGTAAGGTGACTTGTTGTCTAAAATTCAGGAGAGAAAAAGCACCAAAGATAAGTTGGTACTACTGATATCCTGTTTATGTCTGATTAAAAATTGTAGGCTGATAGCATTTAGAGTCAGGTGACCACCAACTACCACATACATCCCTTTGGCATTGTAGATCACAGCATTAGGCAGACATACTGAGTAGGATCTCAATAAATGTTCTTTCAACATCCAGGAAAAAATGACCTCACCAAACGAACTAACTAAGACAGCGGCGACCAACCCGGGAGTGATGAAGATATCTGAACTTTCAGACAGAAAATTCAAAATAGCTGTTCTGAGGAAGCTCGGTGAACTTCAGTGCAACACAGTGAAAGAATTCAGAAGCCTGTCAGAGAAGTTTAACAAAGAGATAGAAGTAATAAAAAGAAATCAAGTAGACATTCTGGAGCTGAAAAATTCAATCGACAAGCTGAGAGATGCAACAGAGCATCTCACCTGCAGGATGGATCAAGCAGAATACAGAATAAGTGAGCTTGAGGACAGGCTGTTTGAAAACACACAGTCCGAAGAGAAGAGAGAAAAAAGGATTAAGAAAAATGAAGCACGCATGCAAGATCTAGAAAACAGCCTCAAAAGGGCAAGTCTAAGAGTTATTCTCCTTAAAGAGTAGGTAGTGAGAGGAATTGGGGTAGAAAGCTTATTCAAAGAAATAACAACAAAGAACTTTCCAAACCTAGAGAAAGATATTGATATTCAGATATGAGAAGGTCATAGAATATCAAGCACATTTAACTTAGATAAAATTAATTCAAGGCATTTAATAATCAAAGCCCCAAAGGTCATGGATAAAGAAAGGATCCTTAGAGCAGCAAGGGAAAGTAAAAGCAGAATAACATATAAAAGAGCTCCAAAATGTTCAGCAGCAGATTTCTCAGTGGAAACCAGGAGAAGGTGGCATGGTATATTCGAAGTGCTAAAGGAAAAAAAACCCTAAAACTTAACCATAGAATATTATATCCCACAAAAATATTCTTCAAAGATGAAAGAGAATTAAAAAAACTTTCCCAGGTAAAGGAAAGGTGAGGAGGGATTTCATCCACACCAGCCATGTCCTACAAGAATTGCTAAAAGGAGTTCTTCAATCTGAAAGCAAAGACATTAATGAACAATAATAAATCCAATAAGAAATACACAGAAACAATAA